AAAAAAAAAAAAAAAAAAAGAACAGTACCAATATTCTCCAATACGGACCGAATAAGCTAGTTGAATGAAGTATTTAATACAATGGCTCTTTTTAATCCGCTGATAAGTTGATGCGTCTCCGCTATCCGTTCTCGGTTTACGCGCGGGCGAGTATTAAAGCATTTATCTACGTTGCTTACGTCGCTTTTGTGAACTTCGCATTTATACTGTCCTCCAAACATGAAGTTAAAAGATTTCTACATAAAAAAACTGTTTATCTTGTGCAATGAGTTGAAAGAGCAATTGGCATTCGCCGAAATTAATTCACGAGCGGTCCATCTTAGGGGTCCGTTGCGCAAAATTTGAACCGCGTCGACCGGGACGAAATTCAGGAAAAAGAACCAAAATGCTGACACGTAAAGTTGTATCTCTTCATGTCATTTTCAACCGGAACGCAGGAAATAACGGAAATGTTTCAGCTTCAAAAACAAAAACAAAAAATGAAAAATCGGCTGATTCTCCCACGCGGTAGTCTGGTCAAAGTAGGAGTGCGCCTGAGGATGTGTGGGTGCAAGGAGCTTAAGGAGGAGGAATAGAGATTCCTTGTTTCGTTATAGACATGCAGAGGCCACCCCAAGTGAGTAACATGAAACTGGAACAATGACGAATTCTACCTCGTTTTGAGAAAAAGGTTTTTGTTATGAGTTGCAATGTTGTACTGAAGTCGTTTAGAAAGCTCAGTTGTACCAACTTTTTATAACGTTTTTTGCTCCCCGAAAGTAACGACCCCCCGAAAGTAGCGAGCCCCCGAAAGTAACGATCCCCAAAGGCTGCTAATTCCGAAAGTAACCTAGTCCAAAAAACCGAAAGTGTACAACTTTTGATATAAAAAAGTTTAAAATTTAGTAAAAAAAAAAAATTTCATTCTAACGCCCTTCAAATATCCTATCCTCTTGGAACTGAAATGTAACAGAAAAGTAGAGCTATAATTATGTAAGTAGTGTAAGGATTAGTATTGAAAGTGGAGTGAGTAATCGTATCGTAAGCAATGTAAGTAGCTGTATTACAGTATCAGTTGTTGTTTTAAGTAACTGTTTTAATATTGTAAGTAGTGTAAATAACCGTAGTAGCATTGTAAGCAGTGTGAGTGAATAGAAATAAAATTAAAATAGAAAAAGGTGTGTTTCCTTGTGCGCAGATGACATCGTTCAGTTTCAAACGTCGACTTGAAGATTATTTGGAAATGGTTCAATAGCAATCTCACAACTCTGAAACTTAAATTTATCAGTTGGAAGCACAAAAAACAAGTCACTTTTGAGTGAAAATCAATGAAAACGTTAAACATTACTTGGCATGATCACATAGATGCTGTTACCAAGAAAGTCAGTGGTCATATTTGAAACTTTGAAAATTCAAAGACAGAAATGTTCAAGTTACTTTAAAATTTTCTATGCTTGTTTATGAAGGGTGTTGCCATGAGTGACATGAGTTACTCGTACCAAGGTTTGATCTCAAATTGAAAAGGTCAGACCGTCTTTCTCAAATTCTACCATTTTGTTTTGGTGACATCTTAGCAACAAATTTCAGTTCTTCAAGAGTTCACTTTTAATTATGTACGGTATGCAGTGGGACCTTGCATGCTTTTTTTTTTGTCCACGTCAGTAGTAAATCGGTCATTTAAGTTTGCCAACAAACTGAGCTGTCACAGAAATGCAATATTTTGTTATTCGGTTTTGTTTTTACAGTACTTTTGTTCTTGTTTGATTTTGTGAACCTTTACATGATTCGATCAATATAAATACTGTAACTGTATACTTAAATAGCTTTACTTCATATACGTGTCATTGTTTATGGAAATACGGTATTTCAGAGTTATCGATCGTTCACGAGAATGCTATTTGTCCCTTTCNATCATACTTAAAACTTTCAAAATTCAAAGAAAGAAATGTTCAGGTTGCCGTTTAAAATTTTCTATGCTTGTTTATGAAGGGTGTTGCCATGAGTGACATGAGTTACTCGCACCAAGGTTTGATCTCAAATTGAAAAGGTCAGACCGTCTTTTTCAAATTCTACCCTTTTGTTTTGGTGACATCTTATCAACAAATTTCAGTTCTTCAAGAATTTACTTTTAATTATGTACGGTCTGCAGTGGAACCTTACATGCTTTTTTTTGTCCACGTCAGTGGTAAATCGGTCATTTAAGTTTGCCAACAAACTGATCTGTCACAGAAATGCAATATTTTGTTATTCGGTTTTGTTTTTATAGAACTTTTGTTCTTGTTTGATTTTGTGAATGATTCGATCAATATAAATACTGTTACTGTATACTTAAATGGCTTCACTTTATATACTTGTCATTGTTTATGGAAATACGGTATTTCAGAGTTATCGATCGTTCACGAGAATGCTATTTGTCCCTTTCAAGGTCTTTTAATGCTGACCAATATTGACACGACCCTTTCAAGACGAATTCTAAGGGAACCTGTTTTCAGCAGATACCCTGTATTAAGCGCAAACTAGCAAGGGTCCCGAGGGTGTCCGCCTAATACAGGTTTGACTGTATTAAAATTCAGCCCAACACAATTAGACCTCAGCACGAGGCTCTGGGGAATAAACCCCACAAACTCTGTATATATTCCCCAGAGCCTCATACTGAGGTCTATTGTTTTAGACTGAATTTTGATATTTCGAAATTGGTCTATTAGTTATTTATTTTTAGCATCATTCTGACTACAAGAAAGCAAAGGTCCCTTGATAGTGTCCGTGCAATTAAAAGGGAAGCAAGCGTTAGTTCATCCCGTTGTGAACCAGTGAACCAGATGCCTATTTCAAAGCAAAGTTTGTTCTAAAATTTTTCGACTTTCAGTGTCGTTAAAGTGAAAGGCCCCAGAAGCTCAGAGAAAACCATGTTTTTAAAAGAATGAATCAGGAGGATCGAAATGTTTAAAGACAGGTTTAGCATGCCGAGCATGTGATCAATTAACGTTTTGTTAAGAATTAACCGATCTGTTCACCGATGCATGACCAAACACACACTCAACTCGCGATTTTGCCACGACGAAGGTCGAACACTCGACATCTATCGATGTCAGTTGGTCAAAAATCGCAAGAGCGCGCGATTTTAACATTAAGTGCTTCACTTGCCCACGCCGTCCGCCGACACAACTTGTATCCCTTTGGGAAGCTTGGTGACCAGAGTTGTTCTGACCAATAGGAAGTCGTAGCGGGACTTTCGACGGAAAGAAGGCATAACTGTCAAACGTTACGCCATGTTTGATGCGATTGTTTTCATTGTCGAAGAGAAAGTGTTTGATTGATTATCACCTCTTTTGTGAAATTTCTGCCAGTTGAAGGTAGGTTTTCCAGATTTGCTTTTCTAAGCTGACTTTGATTTTGCATTCCTTGTCATGTTTTCTCGCGGTTTCATACCGGCTCGAATTCCGGGATCGCAACGGTTTTAAGCTCCACTAAGTTTAATTGATTTTGTACTTAATAATAAGTTCTTAACGAGTATTATATTTCGTTTCGGAGGAGAAGAGAGGTCTTATACGTCCCGAGATGCCTAACAAGACCCGGGAAGAACACCTTAGTATCATTACTTATAAAAAGCTAAAGGGTTTATCTACTCACGCCCGTTCGATCACGTCACGTGATTTATGCTGCGTGAAGCGGTCTTCCACGTAAACTAGCGCAGTGGAAAGTCAGTAAATAATAACCAAATGCGTCAGAGGTTCGCAGATTATGATGATTCACCATGAAGGATGGGATCTGTAGAGTGTTTACTCCACTTAATAGATAATGTTTTTTCTGGATGCTTCAAATTTTCGAAAAACACAGCCATCCAATGTTCTCAATCACTGTAACGTTTTTTATTATATGGCTAGCTCCGTGAGCGGGCAAGATGAATCAAATCCTACGCTGTGATTGGCTACCCAAGCGGGCAAGATGGAGCTATCTTGCCTGCTCGGGACTGCCCGCCATGTCCTGCAAGAGAAATTTCCCCAAAAGCCATATAATAAATCCTTTATTGACCAAGCTTGTTCGGTCAAGATGGTTGGATATTGGCCTCGTTCTTTTTTTGCGAGTTTATGGACCTTGACACGCAAAAAAAGAACTTGGCCAATATCCAGCCATCTTGACCTCACACTTGGTCAATAATCCATATTTATTGGTCTTTGTTCTACTAAGTGGTCCAGATATATGGGCTTTTGACCAAGCTTGTTTGGTCAAGATGGCTGGTTATTGGCCAAGTTCATTTTTACATGTTTATAGACGGAGATGGAGTCAAGGTCCATAAACTTGTAAAAAAAGAACAATCCAGCCATCTTGACCAAACAAGCTTGGTCAATAATGGATTTACTATATGGCTTTCGGGGAAACTTTTCCTGTGGGACACAGCAGGTAGTCCCGAGTGGGCAAGATAGTACCATCTTGCCTGCTCGGGTAGCCAATCACAGTGCAGGATTCGATTCATCTTGCCCACTCATGGAGCTAGCCATAAAATAATAATACCTTTCAAACAATGTAATAAAAACAGAGACAAATGGTCAAGAAGCAACAACACAGATATAAGAATGACTTATGACAGCAGACAATAACCATATTTAGGATTGTGTAGCTAGTTAAGAACTTGAACTTTCTAATTGGGCCTCAGGAACTGATCATGTCAGACTCAAAGACGGCAAAGAGACCACTATCAAGTGAGATTATAGTTCCTGAAAGGCCTTGGAAACAAAGTAAATCTTCCAACAGCCAAGAACAAATGGATGTAAGTATATGATACAATTCTATGAAGAATACAGATTACAGCTAGGTAAAGAAAAGATGTAAGAATGGAGATTCCAGTACAAGTTAAAACTCACTTTTCACATTTGCATGTACAGATATTAGTTTAAGTATCAAATGTAACATAAGTAAAATTCATTGGCATAACATACTAAAATCTAAATTTGGATGATCAGGTTAAATTGTCTTATTCATTAGCTAAGGTGTAGAAATGCTTGTTAATACTCAATTAACTGCCATGGTTAAAGCATTTTACAATGACATCCACAGTGACAAATGTGATAGGTCTTGCCATAAGTTTTAAGTCACCTGTTTCCTTGATCTTCGCACTGGTAACAAACTTGTTACTTTGTGTTTGAACAATATCCACAACAGGCAAGGTGTTCAGGTTAGGGCCCTAAATGACAGCCCTGTGTGATCATGTGTCTTTTCTTTGCCCTAGCCAGCAGATGTACAGATCCTCTTGCTTTTGAGGGGAGATCTAACATCTGGTAAAGTTTGATTTGTTAAGTCAGATAGGTCAGGAATTTGACACATGAACAAACCGTGCATGACCTGCAATTTAGACAGATTTTAAGCTCACCTGGTTGTAATACATAAGTCACAAACGACTTTCCTGTACAAGGAAAGATGGAATACTCAAAAGAGAGAGAGAGGGAGTAGGGGAAGAAAATACCATCACTTGACTTTTTATGATGATTTGGAATTCTCAACTCCAGTCATCAATGGTGGTGACAAAGGACATGTTCTGTGTTTGATGCATTCAAGTTTGTTGTATGCGTCAGATTTGCACAGTTTACTCTTTGTGCATCTTCTTACTCATATTTATAAACACTAGCCTTCATTTGGTGTGAAAATGGGCCCATTTGTCCGCAGGCAATACCTGTCACGAGAAGCCAAACTGTGAGCTTTAAGAAACAGAATGATAATGTCCAAGGATAAATATCTGAGCATATTTTTACACCAAAATTGGAGGCTATTGTGTTTAATATTATCCTTCAAATATTTGTTGCAACATGCTCATTTTTGAAAATTGGGGAATATCTCTCAGGTAATTCCTAGTTTTAGTGGGGAATATTCATAGACAATCACATGACGTGTTTAAACCAATGGCACACAAGAGAAAATATTTGAATTGGATTATAAATTCTGTACTGACCAGCTTGAACTACTACATGTAACTGTGTGTAGCTAATTTGTAATAGCAATCTTCAGAAGAAGATAGCCTTTTCATGAAGGCTTTAAAAGTTAAATGCTTATATTTCTTACTAGCTCAGACTTGTGCACATACACAAAACAAGTTTACATCATTTGTGTGCAAATAGTGACCAAAGCTGTATATTTTCCAATTAGACTGGACAGCATAACCAATTGTGTAAGTTTTTGGCTCCAGAGGGAATAACTGTTTATGAGATTTGCTGACATATTTTCATCATTTTTCTCTTCTAGAGCCATCTTGATAGTCAGGCTTGGTTTTCTGACTGGTTTGTATAATTTTTGACTATTAAACAGTGCCCAATTTGTCTACCTTACTTCAGTTTATTACTTATACCCAACCATACCAATTAATGATTAGAAATTCAAATGTTTTCATGACCTGTGGCTACACAAACTGGCATTGGTATGCCTGTGGAATGATTATGATATTTTTTTATTTCTGTTTTTTTTTTTTCAGTTTAGGCTCACAGATTGATCTCCTTTGTTTCTTCACTGTCACATGTTTAGTGTTGTTATTGTCTTTGAGTTTACATCTAACACTTTGCTGTTATTTCATGTTATTTCCATCCTATTGCAGTGATTACTCAGGTTCCAAGTCACCAGAAAATGATGTTGAATTTATGGAATTAGATGAAAATAGTACATCTCCATTGACAGACAGTGAGGAAAGCTGCAGGTAAATAATGTTATATTATACATGTGTTGTTATTTTGCCTTTATGTTTTCTAGCCATCGGTCTATAAGAATTACATTGCTTGCTTAATTTACTGCACATACCCTCCAATTCTTCAATAATCAAATAACGTCTGACAGAAAAAAAAAAACCTACAACAAAAATAGTGACAACCAAAACCTTCACATTATTATGTTTTGAAACATAATTTAGGCAATAATCTAGAGGATGGCCAAGTGCATGACATTTGCAGACTGCGGATTACACAGGTGCACTCCGGTTAGCCTGAATTTCAGTATCACTCAGGTTAGCCTGAATAATAATCAGGTTAGCCAGTTTATGGTTAGCTCTCCAAAATGGAATGGGAATACGATATTGGTTAAAAATAATGTGCAGTCTGTCGTATTCTGAAAAGAGGATATTCATGATTTTAAAGGTGATGTACTGATATCCTTTGATCCTCAAGACATGTGCTAAATACAGCTGAAAATTTGGAAGGAAAATGCACATTTAACAGTTTACTTTAATCAACATTCCATGAGAATGTTTAATTTGGAGAATACAACAGTACTTTTCTCTACATTCCCAGCAGTTATTTCACTCAATGTTTGAGGCAGTTGACAATTATTAATGATTTGCAATCTAGTGTTGATGAATTTAGGCTAAAACAGTGCATGAAAGTTGTTTTTTGAGAACAGAATAACAAAAACAACTGAGATAACATTGTAATGCTTTTTTAGCTTAAGTTCATTAAAAAAAAAAATGCAAAGCTACCGGTGGGTTTTTATATTGAAGGTAATAATCAAAGTAACAAGCTGTCAGCAAGCTTCCAGTTGAAAATAGAGTGAAAACTATAAGTTACAGTACATCTGTCCCCGGTGAAAACGTTCATTTGAGTCTTCTGCTTGGTCATTTCAGAGGGTTAATAATAAACATCTTTGATTGTTGGGGAGAAATTAAGTTATCTTATCATTTTGTTGGTGTTGGAGGTAATGTTTATTTCAAAAAGCTTACCAGTTGTATCAATACTCACAAACACCCTTTTTCTTGCTAGTCGTGGTAGCCAAAGAAACAGCACCAAACAACAACTCTGGCTATGCTTAAACTGAGAAAACTTCAAACTGAGACCACCCAAACCTGATTTTACATTGATTTCATTTTCAGCGGAGACTCTGGATTCCAATGCAATGGTATCCATCCTGTGGACATATTAGATGAAGATGCCAAAGCAATAGAAGGACCACTATCACCTAAAGAAAATGACAAGACTAGGTACAAAATTTTGCACAAATGCACGAAAATTCTTCTCACCAGAGCTGCCTGCCTCTTTTAGCCAATGTGGTCTTGAAACAATGAAAAAGTGGCTCTGGAGACACATGATTTGGTTTGGTAGATTCGTGGAATAAGATTTTCACTTATTCAATGCTGTTTTCGTTCCTGGAAATATTTACTGGTAATGTGGTTGATCCCAGCCTCAAGAGTCCTCATGTGCCCGATGAGGATGAGTGAGTGTGAGTGAATGTGGTTGATTGGGGAGGCACTGTAGCCCATGGTTAGTATGCTTGTTTCCAGATCAAGCAGTCCAGGTTCGAGCCCTGGCTGGGGACATTGTGTTGTGTTCTTGGGCAAGACACTTGACTCTCACAGTGCCTCTCTCCACCCAGGTGTATGAATGGCTAGCAGTGAACTAAATGCTGGGGGTAACCCTGTGATGGATTAGCATCCCATCCAGGGGGAGTAGAAATACTCCTAGTCACTTCCTGTATTTTTGGCCACTTGGGTCATATGCAGACTTAACCTAATGTGGTTGATCTCTAACAAACCACTTGCAGAGCTAATACAAACAGAATTAAAATTCTGGTCAGAACTGACATTCATAATGTTTCATTTTGGCGGACTTCAATGATAATTCTTCCCCTAAGCCAGTTTTAAAACTTCTTGAAGGTCTGTTGGTGCTGTGATCAAACGGTTTTAGGTAGAGATCAACCAGTGGATATTTTCAGGGTGGCTAGGCTTGATTATAAGCACTGCTCGGGAAAGGAGCGCTGGAAAGTAAGCTGGACTGGAGAGAGCGGCAGATAGAGCCTACAGGAAAGAAAGCAGTGTTGAATTTAGTCCAGGAATCTAGCCAATCAAACATGTTTCTCGAGAAACTGATACCAATATCTTTCTCTTCTTTGCCAAGACCTCGTCAGCTAAGAAGGACAGGCGGCTCTGGGGACCAGAATATTGCATGCATTGGTACCCTTGCATCTTTTTTAAGATTAGAGTAAACATTAAGTGAAACCCGGGCTTTTAGCAAATGGGCATCCAGGCATCTTGCCCCCAATTCTTTTAGAGAATGTGGATACAGCATGTAAAATTAATTTACGGACAGCAAAAAAATGTTCAACATAGTTTAGGTAAAATAGTTCAAATCCTCTAGAATCTTGAAGGCTCCTAATTCACGGTGTTTCACGTTAAAGTGGAGCAGAGACGACCTTCTTGAAACATTTGCCTACATGTAATTAAATATCTGGTATATATCCTTGTCACTGCTGTTGAAGCGGCAGGCCTCGACGTTGTACGAGATGTTTTAAGATGTTAACAAAGAAATATCTTATATTCTAAAAAAGTACACACACCTTGGGCAATAGAAATGTTTATCCATATATGATCTGATCATTTGTTAATTAACAGTTACCGGAATTTCCATTTCTCCATTTCTCAGCTCAGCACAACCTGAAGAAACACTTGAAAATGGCATTCCAACGAATGTACTTGTTGGGGATAATTATGTTCGACTACCTCGGCCGATTCTCTGGTCTTGGTAACGAAAAGTCCACGATTAGTCAAGTTTTAAAATATTTTATAACCTGTAAACGCAGAATGAACTTCCCTGGACTGGATACCTCGGAGAACTTGATACGGCAAACCAACAAGCACGCACTCAAGCAGTCTTTGCTGTCATGTAGTGGACTCAGTCAACGGTGTGTTCACATAACCAAAGTTACATTGTTCTGACCTCCAGGTAGCAGAAGCGGATGTAAATGATGTCTGGTTTGCTTTTCCTAGCTACTTTATTGTTTTCTCGTATATCTCACCTGCGTCGTACCCTTTCTAGTACTCGTCAAGTAACTGGAAAGCCGACCAAGGGGGTAGCCTGTTCGCAGGCTACAGGGAGGAGTGTGAAGTGACAGAATGAAGCCTTTTCAATACTGAAAGATCGCCTTACTATCTATAACATTTGCGTATAAAGAACAACCCGATTTAAGTGATCTACACCCACCAACTTTTTCGGTAACTAGTCGTTTCGCCCGATGTCAGGTCGCCCGCATTAAAGGTCCGTTCGCCAGGACTGACAGTTCAAAGAAAGATGGGCTTAAAATTCCTCCTTAAGGTAACAGCGAAAAAGACAACATTGTGGGTATAACGAAACAAAATTACACAAGACATGTTAATTTCTCGTTCTTTAATCCATTGACCACGGAGCTTATTGTCCGGGCCAACTGTAGTCTCCGCCGCAGCCGTTTGTTTTCGGGGGGGGGGATGTCATGCAACGCTCCCCCAAAGAAGGGTGCGGAGGAGACTAGGCTAATTGGTAACGGGCGAACTGGCTTTCGAGTGAAACGACCACAATCCACTTTTTCTGAGTCAAATGTCTGAGATGTTGGTCATCAGATTATTCGGATTTCCAAATAACAATAAAACAGTAAATAACAAGTTGTGAAAAACGACATACCAAACACCGAAAAGAGAAGTTGAAAAGAAGACGTGCAACTGAGTATTAGGATGTTTTAGAGTCTAATGAGACATTTTCTTCGGTGTTCAATATAATATTTCTCAGTCGAAACTAAACCTTAGGAGGGAAGGGAGAAATCGTATAATGTGCTTATTAAAAAGATATTTTCAAACTCTGTCTGGGTTATAATTGCAAATAAACTCACTCTTAACAACTCGAGGACGGAGTTTATGTTGATCGGATCTAGGCAAAAGCTGGGTACTTCTGATAGCCCCCCAACTCTTACTATCGATCGAAGCTCCGTATAACTGAGTCTATAACTCGTTTTGTCCAAATCTTTTGGGGTGTATATAGAAATTCATCTTGGTGCATACGTGTTGACAAAATGTCTAAAAAAGATTGCTCCTGTCTTTGGCATCTTGAAGAAGAGTAGACATAGCTCGTTCCTTTTGTAACTCTTCTAAGTATCTAAAATGTACAACCCCATTTCGATTATTGTTTGCTGCAACAAAACTCTTGCTACAGGACAGCAAAATAGATAAATTTCGCTTCGCCTATTTAGACGTTTTCTCCCTATTTTGCCATTGCTTGCGATCTTATTAGACTCGGATGGAAAAAGCTAAATCTGCAACTGAGGAAAATCTTAACAGTTTCTGTGGTCTACAAATCACTAAATGGTCTTGTACCGGCGGTTTTGTTTTGCTTTCCTTGTCGGCTTTTCTTCCTTCTTTTTGTGATTTCTTCTTTTTTCTTTACCCAAAATAAGGAGAGGGGCCCGGGCTCCCCGGGCCTTTTCCCTAGATCCGCCACTGCTAAAGCAAGTCCCAGCTGCCAAAATAACCTCTCGACTCAATCAACTACTGAGAGCGGTGTCGGTATGTAAAACCCCATATTTTGTTGTAAAAGGTCGCGAAATTTGATTCCAAACAAAAGAGGTGATTTGATTCCGAAAAATTACACCTATACCTCCCCAGAACAACCTCCCTATATTTCGATATACTGTATAGATCACAGTCTCTTGACTGAGGTGTATATTATACATATATGTTATTTGCCGGCAGGGAGGGCCGTAGTGGGAAAAACTTTGCCCGAGGTCTTGGGGACCTAAGTACTTCATGTATCCTTACTTTTTGCATAATTGGTTGCATAAGTGTGCCAAAGTTAGAAATTTCGGAGCAGTCTGTACTTGGGGTCTGGATGTGAAAATTCAGACCGCTGGAGTGCGCACGATTAGCCAATCAGATTCAAGGATTTAGGATTTCGGACCGCAGGAATTATACAATGGAAATCTCTCATATAAAACTAATCGTTAAATATGATGTCGCCCTGACCAACTAATGAAAGCTTACCTCAAGCAAATCGGAGTGGAACCGAGAAGCAGTGTATTTTTGGCCAACCGATCAATCAACGGTTATTACTTTGTATGAATATCACTAAAGTTTCTAAGTCAGTTTGAAGGATGGAATCAAGTGCCAACCGTTTTGGCCAATGACAATCTCGTTCCCAGAGCCCACGTGTCTTTTGGTCAGCGCCAAGACACGGAGCTCTGGAATAATCAACCAGACTCTAAGATTTTAGGATTTCCGGTTTCATGGCGCATGCGTACCTTGGTTTAAAAAAATGGCAAATTCCGCTCCCGGAGCCTACGTGTCTTTTGGTCAGCGCCAACCAAAAGACACGTGGGCTCTGGGAACGAGATTGGGCCAATGAGCCGTTTCAGTTTGAGCGGGAAAAAGAGGCGCCATATTGGGAATGAGGGATAGCCGTACTAGTGAAAATTGTGCACATTGAAGTACAATTAAGAAGGTAAGGCTTTCCAAATTCGCTTTCTAGTTTAATGTTATTTTTCGACTGAAACTATCTGTAGCTGTGCGATTCATGCAGTCGATTCATGCTGATTCATTGGCTTGAATCTGAATCGAATAAAATTAACGCAGCTTGAAAATGCCTACAGGTTTTTGACGATTTTGGATCTTTAAAACTTTTATTTATAACTGAGTAAACCTAAAAGTTACTGTCAATAGCCCGAGTCGTGCTTATTCGGTCTTGAATCTCTCAGGTTTCATCTTCTAGTCCGCGTACGACTGTACGTTTTGAAACCGTAGGTGCATTTTGAGGCCACTGAGTCGTGATTACGCTTTTGATTCTTTTATTTTATAGAAAGATTTCCGTATAGAGGCTTCTCACACGAATTATGTATATCGGTCATAAAGTAGAACGAGAGTCAAAACTGTATGCATGCTACTGATATGATACATGTACGTTTGGGAAATCCTGCTCATTTTCCACCTGAACAACTAGAAATCTCTATGGGCTTTTGTTACAACAGAGGCAAATAGTTGTAGTAGTAACAGAGTAGACATTTCTGTCAGCATTGGCTGATGGCATAAGATGACAAATGTGCAAAGTGAGAAGTTATTTTTGTAATTATGTTTATTAAGTGTATTAATAATTTGTGTCTCAGGAACGCTCCGAGTATGGCAAAGAGGCGACCACCTGAGGAAATTATAACTCTGACAGGCCCTGGAACACCCACTAAACAAAGTAAAACTTCTAATTGCCAAGAACAACCAGTAAGTACATGATATTCTACAACATATATGATAGATTTATCAACACTTGATCGAGTACGAGTATCAACTGCTGCTCATATTGGACGATATAGTTTGGCAGTTCGCAGATATATTTGCTCAATACGTCGGCCGATATTGACTGATATATTGGTCAGCCAACACTGTTGACATATTGATCAGATGTTTCGGTGGATATGTATGTCCACACAAATCGGTGAATATACTCAATATAAAAGGTTGACAGCATACTGCTTCAGATATTTGTTAACTGTTGTTTACTGGGCGTTTAAGCTAACAAGATGTTGACCAACTGTCAATGGATACTCGGTTAAGTATCCACCAAGACTTCACTGAAAGTCGATTGGTGTATCATCGATAGTTGACGGATGTACCACTGAGAGTATTGCAGTTGATACGTCAACTGGCACTATGCTCATTATTTAGTGGGCTATCAGTCGATACTCGACCAAGTATTGACCAATACCCAGTCCAGTATTGACCAATGTGTCAACCAATATATTGACCTATATATCAGTTGATATATTGATCAAGGCTCCACATAGGATAATGATCCTTTGAGTCTGTCACCTTCAATCCTGCATTGCTTCTTATCTGATTTTTTTAAAAATTTTTTGGAATCGACCGATGTGTCAACCAATATATTGACCGATATATCAGCTGATATATTGATCAAGGCTCCACATAAGATAATGATCCTTTGAGTCTGTCACCTTCAATCCTGCATTGCTTCTTATCTGATTTTTTTTTTTAGATTTTAAGGTGATTCCACTAAATTGTATTACATGTCCTTGCTGTGCATAATTTCTCATGCCAATTAGTGCATGCATGCATAATTTTATGAATGCATGCATTATTAAGATATTTCCTTCAAGCTGTCAGCTCAACAAAGAAATAACTGTAAATGAGTGTTTCTCTTAAGGTATCATGGTAGGTGAATTTTCATGAAAAATGCAAAAAATAGTTTTTTTGCTGTTCAAATTGAGAGGACTGAGATAAATATTTTGCAAAAAGATTGCTAAGAAAAGCTTTTTTACTTTTTAAGATAAAGGGAAAAATTATTTTTGAATCTCATGAACCCCTGACCATGCGTGGACAAGTTCCTGTCACCTCTAATTAAAATTTACTGCCTGTTGTCACGTGTAATGCGAATTGCGGTGTGACATTTCCTTTGAACGAAAGAGAAGTGCACGCGAACTGTTCTTGATCCAGTTGTCTTTATTGTTAGTTAGCTTTTGTTCTTGACAAGCTTAGCTTTTGCTTTTCTTAATGTCCGGACGAAAATGCAAGAAAACTTCTTGTCCATTTGCATCTTCGACGAAACCGAAGAAGCAAAAATCTGGAATCAACGAATTCAGTGTGGAACAAGCTAGATCTTTGGCTTTGAGCGACCATGGGTCATACTGCAACCAAGACGAATGGTTATTTGAGGACACTAGTTCCGCTAATGAAGCTGTAGAACAACCTGTAACAAGTGCTAGTCGCACAAAAATATTGCTAGAGAACGGACACGGCTCCAAAACTTCTACGACAACAAAGTCAAGCGAAGATGTTGAGCCGTGGGACAAACTTTGTGGAAGGACAATTGCTAGCGGCAATAGACTTCAGGAAAATTTGGTGAAATCTGTATCTTGTCGAGCATTTTGTCCCTCGGATTTTCATTTGTTTCCGGCTGAACACCCACTTGCAAGGTTCGCTTGCCAGCCCGCTTGCTTGTTCCACTTCGAGATTTCCTCTTTTTGGCTTCTCGAGGCATGGTTTTAATAAATGTCTGGAGAACGAAGAGGTCTAAAGTTGAGCAACATAATACCAATTCTGCCGATGAAATCTTCTGTGTAAAAGAAGTCACGGCAGTTTACATACAAACCTTTTTAAAGCTCCAGTATTTTGTCCTTCGAACGATAACACTGCGGCTGGTTTTCGCACCAGAATTGTAGACGTCTGTTTATTTCAAGTTGCCGACATCTGTCAATGAGTCATCAAATCTCCTTACATGCGGGGATTTTTAACACCTAATCATAGAAATCTCATAAAACGTTTTTCGTCTTTTTCTCGATGAAATAAAACGGCATCTAAGGGTGAACATTTTTAGTTCGTTTACGTGCGTCTTCCGACGGAATTAGTTGAAAATCGGCAGCCATGTTCAAGGATACTTCGTTCGAAAAAGTGTGTCAGGCTTTGTTTAATTTCGCTTCCGTTTAAAAGTTATGGCCTCTCTTGTAGAAAGGAACGTTCGCATTGACAATATCAAACTTTAGGAGGTTGTAAAAGAAACCAAACCACATCTGGAAAATCGCAGACACGATTTTTGAGGGTGACGTGTGAGAAAACATTTCCGATGTTAATCGCGCTGCTCCGATAATTCACGCGCGGAAGCAAACCAATTTAGGCAAAGCAGTGTTTCTGGATATTTCTTTTAATATCACTGCGACATTGACTTTTTAGAAAATTTCAAAGATATGATTGTATTCTATAACTATTAAGTGGCAATCCCGCTAAAAGCGGTCCACTCGACTTCGGGACCAAAAATAATTTTCCTTCATTTTTTGTCTGTGAAAAGGGTTTGACACATATA